GGGGGGGGGGGGGTTAGAAAATATAAAACAAAAGAAATCTCAAGAAAGATTTTTATTTTACGTGGGGATTAATTTTTATAAAATGTGGTGATTTATTCCATCAAGCTCTCAACTCCTTATCACTCCTTTTCACTCCAACACGAAATACTAGTAAGATATACTATTAAATATTCAACTATTCATTTATACATTTTCATTTTATTGTTTAATATACCTGCATTCTATTGCAGGTTTGAAATATATCTATTTACTGATTATTGGAGATTACTGTGTCCGAGTTTAGGAGCCTAACCGACTTACAGACCAAGTCTACCTATCTATTTATGAACCGACTTACAGACCAAGTCTACCTATCTATTTATGAACCGACTTCTAGTCAATCAATCAACGTCGGCCTCCTATAGTTTTACAAATATATATATATATATCATTCATTTTTAACAATATATTAAGCATGAAACCTGAAGAAAAAATAGTGTGGTATAAAAAAAATGCTATTCCCGGTTTTAAAACTTATTTATAGTATGTAATGATGTATTATATTTTGTAAATGATGTAAATTCTATATTGTATATACAATATACATATCTCCTTAAATTATATTATTATTAATTATTCTATTGTTTAATATTTAGAAAAAAATAATGTTGTACACACTGTTTCATGTTGAACATTCTTTAGCAGAAAAAATCTCTATATAAGATTTTTTAAAGATTTTTATATATACAACTCTATAGTTGAGAAAGTCACCGCAAGAGGACTCTGTATGTATTTCAAGAACTGGACATAGTGCTTCTAAACATGGAGTAAACTTAAAGTTTAGAAAAATGTATAAATGATTTCAATCATTATTTTGAATTTTGATTTTTAATATCTTGGACTGCCAAAGGTATTATTATTATAGGGGAAATATATGACTTAAACTTGGATATAAACAACATATAGGTTTTTGTCTGTGTGCAGGTATCAACCTGGTAACAGTATATACTCCGCTGGGTGGAATATTACTTGATACCAGGTTCAGCGTATATGTCTGTATATGATTGAACTATGTACAGATAATATGTACCCAGACATATTACTGTACTAATCTTTGGTTCTGTGCCTTGAGTACAGACGTTTATGTTGTAACTGTACCTTGGGAACCCAGCTAAGCTAGGAGTATTCAACCTAGAATTCTAAAACCCGTGGTTCTACCGAGTTTCCCAAAATGTGAGGCAAATCCGTCCAGGGGTTCATGATTTATGCTCGGACTACACAAGCAAACAAGTAGTACAACTTTATATATAAACATTAAACATGTTTCAAAAGTAATGAATTTAAGTACAATTGGTAAAAGTGATTTTTAGATATTATTCAATTATGTAAACCCAATTTTAACCTTAATATGTATTTATACTTTTAGCAAAAGAATAAATATATGATTTACAAAAAAAAATCATTCCTTAAGTTGTAAACACTGTATTTGTTTTATAATTTATATCATTAGATGTGTATTTAGGAAACTTATTTAAATACATGTTATAGATCTAAACCTGATCTTTATTTGAAAGTTGCCATCTCTGGCAAGAAAATTACATATATAATTTATTAACACATATGGAATTGTGTATATGATCGAATGTTTACCATAGTTAAAAAAGGTATCAATATTTTTCAAAAAAAGAATTTTTAAGCGGGGGGTGGGGCACAATGTTGCGGGGGGGGAAAAATTGCCCCCCCCCCTTCGAAAATGCTCTCGTTCTTTCTATAAGTTCCTATATCTGAGCTGTATTGCTCAGTCCTGTGCTTTGAATTGGCCGCTCCTTAACAGGGGGGGAGGGGGGTT